TATGGGTTACTTCTGACTGCTGTGGGTGGCACTGCCGTGACAGGTGTACAAACGTCCCTTCGAGATCTCGCTTCTTCCGTGTATACACTCAACGGTGGACTTGTTGATCATTTGGTAATTCCTTTTAATCGAGGAACCACTATGGTACCCCACGATGGTCGCACACGTTGTATTTCTACCACCAAGGGGCAAGGGTTCCGGTTTCTCCACACCCATGCCAACAGTCCTCCCGGTTGTTGCCCTCCTAACGGGTGTGAAGTGGAATCGCACTGGGGTCTTGGTCTGCATCTCCCTCATTAGTGAGCCGGAGCCATTTTAAATGTGCTTCCTGGCTGTTCGTACATCTTCTTTGGAGAAATGTCTACTTTTGATCTGGGACGCTTGCTTTTCTGTTCTTCTTGATATTGATCCCTTATCAGATGTATAATCTGCAATATTTCCTCCCACTCTATGGGTTGCCTTTTTACTTTATTGATGTTGTTTTTTGATGTGCAAATTTAAAAAATTTTCACGAGGTGCCATCTGTCTCGTTTTTGTCCATGCCTTTGGTCTCCTATCAAAATCACCAAGTCCAATACCATGAAGCTTGTGTTCTACGTTTTCTTCGAAGAATTTCATAGTTTTGGGCCCTTGATCCACTTTAATTTTGTATCGGGGTGAGGCAGGGGCCAGCTTCATTCATTCATTCATCCACGTGGATGTCCCGATTTCCCGGTTCACCGTTTGTTGAAAAGACAGATCTTTGCCCCAGTGTGGTCTCGGCAGCCCGGTGGACAATCATGTGACCACACGTGCGGTGTATCCCCCGCTGTCTATTGCGCCCCGAGCTCCGAGGACACCCTCTGCAGACCTGTCTCCCTTCCCGCATTCTGGCGCTCCAGCTGCCTCCGCCTCCCGCCTCCCAGCTACGGAGTCTTGCCGTGACCAGGCCGAGCCGCGCCGACCCACGTGCAGACCGGCCGGCTGTGTGAACCCCCGACCACGAGCAGGTCATGTCCGTGCACGCGTGGGGCGGCCTGCAGGCCCACGGAGTGACCGCCCAGCGGGGGCGGCCTCGGCCGGACCTCAGGGGAAGGGACAGCAGACGCCCGGCTTACAGGTCGGCTGGCTCCCAGGCACGGGGAACCTGCAGCCCCAGCTCCGGCCAGGCCCAGAGTGAGGCTGGCAAACAGGGTGCGTGCGGCCGGGCTGACCCGGCGGCGTGTCCTGGGCGCCCGCGGACAGCGACTCGGGTCAGGGAGGCGGTGCGGGAGCCGAGACCGGGCAGGGCGAGGCGGGCGCACGGACAATCCCCCACCAGCCGCTCAGCTCGGGCAGCCCCTGCGCGCGCGCGGGCCCGACTGGTCTGAGCCGAGAAATCCGCCGCGGAGGCGGGAGCCGAGGGGCCGCCACGCGCACTCCGGGGGCTGCGGGGCACCGGCCCGTCCGGCTCAGCGCTGCCCGGGGCCGGGCCCCGCCCCCACCCTCGGCGGCGCCCCTCCCTGCTCGGACCTCGGTTTCCGACCGAGCGGGGACGCCCGCACCCGCCGCAGAGGAGACCCGGCCCGAACCCCGCCGCTCCCGCCGCCGCCTGCCCACATGCCCTGAGGGTCCCAGCGCGCCGGGTCCGCGGCCACTTCCGCCGGCCAAGGCCCAGGACGCTGCTGCACGTCCCGCGTCGCCGCTCTTCCCCACCGCCCGCCCGCGCCGTCAGCCCTCGCGAGCCCGCAGGCCGCCGCCCCGGGCGCCCCCCGCTCCCCGCCCCTCCGCCCAGCGCACGGAGGTCCCGCCCCCTCCACCGGAAGCGGAAGTACACCCGAAAGGCGGGCTGCGCGCGGCGCGTCGGGACCCGGAAGCACTCCCCGAGGCCCCGCCCCGCCTCCCAATACCGCTGCCAGGAGACGCCGCGCTTCCTTTCTGCGCTCACGCTCGTGGTGCCGGCAGCAAGTGCGTCGCGCGGCCGGGCGGGAGGGGGCGGAAGACCCGGGCCGCGGCGGGCGGGAGCCCCGGGGGGGCGTGGGAGACCCGGGCCGGGGGTGGGGCGTGGGAGCCCGGGCCGGGGTGGGGGTGGTGGGAGACCCGGGCGGCGGCGGGCGGGGAGGAGACACGGCCCGGCCTCAAGGCGCCGCGGGGTCTCGCAGGCGCGCCCTCGCCATGCAGAACGACGCCGGCGAGTTCGTGGACCTGTACGTGCCGCGGAAATGGTGAGCGACGTCCTCCCCGACTCCCGCCGCCCCTACAGCCCCCCCCACCCCGCCCGCTCACCGCGCCCCCCATCCCCCGCAGCTCCGCCAGCAACCGCATCATCGGCGCCAAGGACCACGCGTCCATCCAGATGAACGTGGCCGAGGTGAGCCGGGCGGCGGAGGGCTAGTCCCTCCGGGGAGGACGCTCCCAGGGCGGCCCGCGGGGTCGGTCATCCCCGGGCCCCCGGTGTGGAGCGGGAGGCGCCTGGCGGTCTCCGTGACACCGGGTGACGACTTGCAGGTCGACAAGGTGACGGGCAGGTTCAACGGCCAGTTCAAGACCTACGCGATCTGCGGGGCCATCCGCAGGATGGTGAGTGTGTCCCTCCCCGGCGCTGCACCGGGGAGGGGACGTGAGCCGGCGCGGTCCACGTGCGGCCGCCGGGCCTTCCTGGGGGTGCGGCGGGGGGTCTGGGGGCTGGGAAAGGGCCACCCTGGCTCCTAGAGGACCCCCGTCCCGCGCGGGGCGGTCAGAGGGGAGGCCGGGAGACCGAGCGAGCCGGTGCTCGGCCGGCCATGGGGGGCAGAGGAGACAGCCGGCCCTGCTTCTTCCAGGGTGAGTCGGATGACTCCATTCTCCGGCTGGCCAAGGCTGACGGCATCGTTTCCAAGTAAGTCAGAGGGCCTGCGTTTGGGCAGGGGCCCCGGACCTTTCCAGGAACAAGGCTTTACCGCTGTCCTTCTGTCCTAGGAACTTCTGACTGGAGGTGATCACAGAAGCGGGGGGTTTGCCGTAAATAAACAGGGGAACCCGTTTGTCTGTCTGTTCTGTGACTGGTTGCGCTCCTCTGGGCACCAGGGTCGGGGCAGTGGCGTTTGACAAGGAGGGGCCGCTCAGCGAAAGCAGACAACCAGCCCACGGAGAACGTTGCAAAACCACGTTTTACTCTGAACCAAACACATTACTATTTGCAAACACGGGACCTGTGACTGCACAATGAGGTCGCAGCATCCCGAGCGCACGTCCGGTCCACGACCGCTGCGAGCGTGGAGAACGGCAGGCCCGCAGACACCTGCCGCGGGGTCAGGCTGAAGTCTGGCTTCGATACTGGCTTTGCTGTGGTGACCGCTGAGTCCCACAGGAGAGCAGCTTCCCGCATGGGGGACACAAGGACACGCCAAGGGAGAAGTTACCAGTGGTCCGTGAACACGTCAACGGGTCACGTCTTTGCGGCTCTAAGGTTGCCTGGAAGTTCCCCGGGACATGTGCCCTCTTTTGAGGTGAAGCTGTGAACCAGGACGTACACTCGGGGTGGGTCCCTTACAGCACTTGTGACCTGAAATATCCTTGAGAGACAGGCGGCGGGACAGGTTGCCATCCAGAGGGGAACCTCCACCCTCCCCTTGGGTTCGTAGGGGCTAAGGGGTGGCGCCGGAGAGGACAGGGAGGTGCTCCACGATCAATGAGGTTGGCGCGCGGACTTGGGCTTTGGCTTCGTGTGGCAGTCTCCGCTGGCCCTGGAGGGGAGGAAGGAACAGCTGGCCTGGGGGCGGACGTGGGCGCCCAAGTGCTGTGGTGCGAACCGGGGTCTTCCTTTCGCAGAAGCACCAGTTCGCGTGACGATGGGGTGGGGCTGTAGCCTGGGCCCTGTGACTGGTTCGTGGGACAGCAGTGGGGAGCGGCCAGCAGCTGACCCGAGGCGGGAAACTCCTCAGTTCTTCAGTGTTTGGTGGGGCAGCGCGCGGGAGAACAGGTCACAGAGGGTGCGGGAAGGACACAGACCTGGGAAAGCAGAACATGGGCCCTGCTGGGCATGAGGGGCCTGGGCCTGTACACAGGCGACCACCATTACCCAGTGGGCTCCTTTCATGACAGCTGGGCCTACTGCTCCTGCCTGCCTGGGAAGAAACTGTGAGCACAGACCCCCTTAGGGAGGTGGTGCCATGAGGTGCAGGGCCATGGGGGAGCCCATCTCCTGCCTGCTTGAAGATCAAGTGGTTTCAAGTCACAACTTCAACAGATCTCACGTAACCAATTTTTCTTCCCTTAAAAAGACCCATAGAACCAAATCGCAAGTAACAATAAATACAGTTTTTCTCCGACACAATATTGCTTAGGAAGATCAAGAGCCAAGAGCAAGCAATCCAGTCATCCTGAAGGTCCAGAGTGTCGTAGGCAAACAGGGCTTCTGGCGGGGAGGTGAGGGTCCCCAGGGACAGGCCAGTGTCTATGCCAAGGCCCACTGGGTTGTAGGACACGCGGCACCAGGATTTCACAGTGACACGATGCTCGGAAGAGTAGCAAATGAGAGAAACCAGAGTCTGCTCCGGTTGGCTCAACCTAATGCCAGAGCTCCGCCTGTGGATGTGGGGGGGGGGGGGTGGGCGGGCATCCCCGGAGGCGCTGCTGGGTGGGAGGGAGCCAGGCCGTGGGGTGCGGGGGTGCATCTCCACAGCCGAGCCCAAGGCTTCATTACATTAACTTCAGCAATTTCAGTGTGTTGGGGAGGGCGCGGGAACCCGGATCTTCACCCGTGGTTCGCAGAAGACGCAAAGAAGGACGCCGCGGAGCTGGGGTGGCCGTACGGGTAAGCCAGGGTCCCCGTGCAGCCCACTCTCAGGCACGTGGCAAAGAACACAAAACCTCCCGCCTTGTTCCTGCGGACACACCAACAGGCTCTCAGGAATACCGCGGGCACAGTGTGCTTTGGAACAGAGAGTGCCCCTGCAAGGCTGCGCGGGGGCGAAGACTGGGCGTCAGTCACAGAGGGCAGGCGAGTCCCCGCCAGGCGGCTGCCGCAGCTGGGTGCCGAAGTGGGGCCCGGAGGGCGTGCGGTGCCTGCACCGGGGCTGTGTGGGCAGTGGGGCCGGCCTTGACTAGAACTGCTGCGTGAGGCGTCGGTAATGAGGTAACACCTGGCTCTCGGGGAGGTAGAGCGCGAGTTCCAAGGCCACCAGCACCGTGAACTCGAACCCAATGAGATCCCGTCTGTTGAATCGGAACCTTTCTTCCAGCTTCTGCATTGAAAAAGCGGGGTGGTTACGGGGCCGGCTCGGTCTCCCGCCCAGGGAAGTGGGTGCAGGCCCGGCTGCGGGTCCCCGGCGGGCAGCCTGGCCCGGGGAAGGGGCTACTCACGTCGATGAGCTGCTTCACCTCGCCCCTGCGCAGGTCGCTGCTGATCTTGGCGGCGAGGAGCACGCACGCGCCGGCGCACAGCTTGCGGTTCTGCTTGTTGAGTTTGCCCTGCAGGACCAGCTTCTCGAAGTACACGTACGCCATGGACACGGTCACAGGCTCCAGGCTGCACTCCTCAGAAAGGTTCCGCATCTCGCGCTTCAAGCTGCAGGTGACAGGGAGGCGCTCAGGGGCCGGGGAAGCAGCCGCCCTCTCCTGGCCCCACACGGCGTTTTGGGCGGCGGGAAAGGCCTGTTCCCCGCGGGCAGCGCTCGGCCAGCAGCTTGGCGGGTGAGCTGGCTGATGTCGGGCCGTGGCACCCGTCCTCCCAGCTGCATCGGCTGGCCCACGCTGTGCTCCAGGGGACACTGGACAGAGGACACAGTCCCTGCTGTCCTGGGGCAGCGGGGAGGACAACGCGGGAGAAAACCACCCACAGAAAGGCCCTGTGGTGCAGACACGCTGAGGCAGCATCTAGGCCTCAGTGAAGCCCTTATGGGTGCTGCTGGGGAGGGGACGGTGGGATGCAGTGGGGCCAGAAGGACCCTGGGCAGGACACTGAGCCACTTACTCGCCGTGAGGTCTTGGGCCAGCCTCATCGGCCCTTGATCCCATCCATCACCAGGCTCAGTGCCCGCCACCTGTGCTGTCCTGGGCATCAGGGAGGAGGGCTTGGAGGTGTGGGTACGAGAGGCCTTGAGGCAGCCTGGCCTGCGGAGGTGGTAGTGGGGGACCGGGGAGTTGCCACTATTGGCCTGGACAGACGGCGGGGGGGGGGGAAGGGGGGGGGGGGGACACACGTGGATTTGTCAAGCTCACGGGACCTGCCGGAAATGGGGGCAGGAGCCGGGAGACCCTGCCTCAGCGCCCTCACCTCCGGATCTTGCTCAGGGTCAGTTTGATATGCGGGAACTTCTCGCGGAAGGTCTCGTTCATGTCCTTCTTGAGGTCAGAGGGCTTCACGTACTCTATCACCGTGGTCTGCAGAAGAGGCAGCAGGGTGGGGAACCCGCCCCACGCAGGCCTAGCGGCGCACCTGCCTGAGGCCCCGGGGGGTGATTTCATGCCGGCCTGGGTCTGCGATGCCAACACGCGGTGGCTTCAGGCACCAGCTCTGCCAAGGACACGCCTCACGACGGAGAGCACAGAGTGGGCAGCCCCCTGCCACCAGGGTGCGTGCTGAAGGCAGCAGTGACCCCAGGGCACCTCTCTGGCCTATGGTGTACCCTGTCCTGTCCTGAGGTGCTGTTGCTGTCCTGGGGGTGGGGGGGCATGTCAGCCCCACCCTGGCAGCTTGCTGTCGGCCTGCCCCCGACCCCCGGGGCCGTGCGGGCTGGGCACGTGGTGGTGCTCACCATACCATGTAAGAGGCGAAGATGAGGACCCTCTTGTGCTTGCCGCAGGGCCACTGCGGGTCGTCCAGCAGGTCGGGATTGTAGTCCAGCACGTCCCCAGCGTCGCCGCCTGCAGGCAGAGGGCAGCCCTGACCCACCACGAGCCCCCAGCTGGGGTCTGCGGTCTGGGAAAGGCTGCAGGCCATGCTTCCCTGCCCCTGAGAGCTGGGTGGAAGGAAGGAGCGCTTGACAAGGAGGGGCCCCCGGGCCCCCAGCCCCCCAGCCCCCCTGCCATCGTTGGACACGGGATCTCTCCAGTGCCCGGTCGGACGAAGCCTAGGCTGTTTGCTCTAGCGGGAGTCCCTTCTCCTGACCCTGCTCCCGAGCCTGGTGTCCTGTCTGGACTGGGACCCTGGTTGGCCACGTGCTCTCCCTTGCCCAGCTGGTGTGACCGCCTGCCCTAAGCCCAGTTAGGGCACATGAGGCTACCTAGTTCCGTGCCAGCTGGCACTGACTTGGCCGGGGCCGGTTTGTATCTTGAGCCTGGCAGAGCGCGGGGGATGCTGGGCCGGGGCTGGGGTGGCGGGCCGTGGCCGTCTGTCTTGTGTGTGACCAGGGCGTTGGTAGGGTACAAGAACTTGGCGTAAGACACCACCTGGAGAGACAAGGGTGTCAGGGCTCAGTCCCTATCGCCCCCGGGCCCTGGCCCCGGCCTGAGACCAGAGGTTCAGCAAGCTGTCCCCTACGCCTTCCTGTTGCAGGAAGGCCCCGCACAACTGCCACCCTTGCATGGGTAAAGAAAGACCTACTGAGGGCGAGTGCTCCCAGGCAGCCCCGCGCTGGGCACTGCACCCCTGGGATTAGTATTCTCAATAACAAGAACATTCCGGAATGCCACCCTTGCCATCCCGTGTGGGATCTGCAGCACAGGAACCTTCTCCCTCCCTCTGACCACCAGCACAGAGACGGCACAGACACCTGGCTGCTGAGCGAGGCTACGGGGCCCGTTTTCGGGCTGTGGGGCTTTCTCCCACCAACACCGTGCATTTTAGAAGATTCAGGGGGAAACACAGCTCCATGTGTTTGTTGCCTTGGTGAGCGCAAGCTCCGTGCCCCCCAAACACCTACCCCGCCCACGGACCGCAGCCACACTTGCCTTCCCGTCTGCTCCCAGCTCAACGCCCTCCAACTCAAAGACCATCTCAGAAGACACGGAGACGCCGCCGGACGGGTGCCTCTGCTTCTGGCTGTCCACCCTCAGGTCACTGCAGCGCACAGGACAGGAGACGGCTGCCGCCCTCCCTGCCCCTTCTCAGGCCCACGCACTTCCTGTTCGAATACTCTAGAGGTCGGCAGTAATGGAGAGGCACTGACCTCTGCCCGAGGCCACCCGCTTGGCCAGCTGGCCCAGGCCCATCCCAGGGGAAGGGTTCCCCATTGCCATGCCCACTCCGACGGCCATCTCCTTCCTCCCCGAGCGATGCACGGGACACAGCCGCCTGACGCGCGCGTGAGGGCACAGGGCAGCGTCCCCACAAGCAGCGTCCCCGGCATCTGCCGTAAACAGCTCACACAGAGCAACGGTGTGGACACACCCCTGCTAGGGAACCAGGGCCCAAAGGCCTTCAGAGTTCCTGGGGAGCTGTGCCAGGGCTGGTGCCGAGCTCGGTGCCGCCCTGGGCCACTCACCTGAGCCGCAGGCCTTCTCCGTAGGGCAGGACCGAGAAGGCCGCACATAGGGACCGCTTGGCACAGATGAGCACGATCCTGGGGGGAGGTGCTGGTCAGAGCAGGTGGGAGGCGTTTCTGGGAGAAAACGCCTTCTCCTCTGGACTTGGGTGACACAAGCTGCTGGCTGGGACCACCGCACACCTGGGCGTGCTGAAGCCCCGTAGCACGCAGACCTGCCTCGGGCTGCTCCTTAGCACCAGCATGAGCCCGTCACCCTGGGGGCCATGCTTGGGGAGGGGTCTGGGCCCTGCCGGGAGAACACAGAGCTTCCCAACCAGGGCCGCGGGGCGGACACGTGGCAGCCTGGCCTCCAGCAGGAAGGACGGTGGGCTCAGACGTCTCAGGGTGGGTGACAGGAATGCCGAGGGGCCCCTGCAGTGCCAACAGACACAGGAGCCCTGAGGGCCACCGCACCAGGCCCACACCCCGGTATGGGGCAGCCGCATCCCAGCTTGTAGCTCAACCACCCACCGTGTTTCCCAAATAAAACCCAGCCCTCCTCTCTCGGCCACATTGCATCATCACGCCTGTCCTGTGTCCCTTCACCTGGGCTACCAGAGAGGGGGACAAGACAGGTCCCCAGCCCCTGATCGGTGCGAGGGGGACACGGTGGGCAGCTCCAGGGCTGCAGGCAGGGGCCCCGGATTGGATGGCAGCCCTGGCCATGGCACATGGCACCTGCTGTTCCTGGTGTCATACTGCCTCATGTTCTTGATGAAGTGGGTCTTCTTCAAGCCTTTGTGTCTTGGGGATCCGGAAATGTGCTTGGTTCTGCAAGGTAAAAACCAGATCACTCTTTCCTCCCTCGAGACCTCCTCTGGCCCCAGGTCTCAGACACCCTTACCTTTGAACCGAGGCACATCCCACAGCGTCTTCCAGGAACTCAAGAGAACAGCGCTGGGAGGCGACTCGCCTTCTGTAAGAAGACAGAGCAGGGCCTCAGCTAACACCTGGGAAGGGGCTGCTCTCAGACCCAGAGACGTGCTCTCAGGAGTCTCCCCACTGGAGGGCAGCCCCAGCCACCGACTGGGTCAGGAGCTTGTCTGGGGTGAGGTCTGAGCCTTGGGTAGGGCCACTCAAGGACCAGAGTTTGCCAGAAGAATCCAAGGGGGACCAGCACCCTGGTCTGCTGCCCGTGGCCTCCTGGAGCTCAGCCCAGCACGTTCCAGGCATCCTCTCTGGCCCAGGACTGGCAGGGCCAGCCGCGCTCACCCACAGCAGGCTGAAGGAACTATATCCGGAGAGCTCACGGCCTCCCACCCCACTGCCAGGGAAGCTCCTCAAGCCTGAAGGCCCAGAAACCCTGTGTGGCTGCACTCTCAGGTCAAGATCACAAAGCCTGGTTACCGACACCCAGGCCACCCCTGTGGTCACCTGTCGACCTCCTCATCCTCGTGGGGTGGAAGTGCACATCTCACCAGTAAGGGCTGCTTGTGACAAAGCTATGCAGATGGGCCCCAGGTCCGCACATGTTCCCAACGAGAGGGAGGATCCCAGAGACCACGGCTGTGGGGTCCATGAAATTAAGCAACACGGGCCAGCATATGCCAGACACCCCGCATGTCTAGAGTGTAAACTGAGCCCAGGCTCCTGCGGAGGGGAGCAGGGGAAGGACACATGGCCGAGGAAGCCACTTCGGGGAGCTGTAGCCTGCCCAGAAGCAATGCTGTCCTCCCACAGGACCCTGGCTGACGGAAGAGGCCCAGCGTGGTCCGGCCACCTCACCAGGTAGAAGTGGCCTGGAGTCCCGGGAGGAAGGAGCCAGGGGACAGGTGGTCACCATCGTGTACTAGGGGCCTAGCCCCCACCTTCTGCCATGGAGCCACGGCTTATGGCAGCCCAGAGCAGCTGGGCACCTGGCCCCGGTCACATGACCAGGGCAGTCCTGGGGGGCTCCAAGGCTGTTACCTCGAAGCTCCAGCCTCCACATAAGTCTTTAAAGTGACCGCAGCGGCACGCACTCACTGAAAATCAACAAAAATGAACACGGCACAACCTCCAGTGAAACGCTGGGTCTCCCACCACAGCCCTGTATCCAAAGAGGGGCAGTGACCTCCCTCTGCAACTGGCGTGGGGGGAGGGCACCCGCCTACCAGACGAGTGCTTGGGGGTGACGGGAGTGCTTGGGTCAGTCAGGCAGGGGAGCCCGGGCTGCAGCCATGGCCTGAGGACTGGCTAGGGCGGGGGTGGGGTAGTGTATGGGCAGCGGGAGGGCCACGTCGGGAGGACATCCAGCGTCCCACGAAGCCTGCGGGGAGAGGTGGGGGTGAGCAGGTGGAAGGCAGGCCCCGTTCAAGGAAAGCTGCCGACCTGGGGAGAGCCCAAGCGTCCCCGGAGGGGTCTGCGTGCGGCCCTGCGGGGCTGGGCTCTGAGGCTCCATGGAGCAGCCCCTGTGGCTTCCTCAGGGCATTTCCCAGGTGGTGTCCCAACGGCTTCCGCACACCCGGGACCTCGTCTGCGGGGCCCAGGCCGGCAGCAACCTCCACAGAGGCCCGGCCCGGCACACGGTCTCTGGCCCGGTGCCCGGAGGAGTGGCAGGCGAGACAGTAGCCTCTGCCGCCTTGCTCACGCCTTCTGGAGATCCTGGGATGATGCCATAAGCTCAGCTCACCAGGCTTTAAAATCTGTTCCCACTGCTTTTGCAGGTACCTCTCCCCCGTCGCAAGCATTTTACACAGACGCTCAGCCCTCACGATAACTGCGTGGGACGGCGGTGTTATTACTCTCTGTTGACGTGTGGGGAAACTGAGGCACAGAGCGGGCAAGCGAGCTGCCCGAGGTCGCAGCTGCTCAGGTGGTACCAGGACCTGCGAACCCGCAGGTGGCCTGTGCGTTTGCCAACGGCAGGAGCACGGCCTCTCTGCCCCGCTGCGGCCCCCGCGGGGCTGGCTGCAATTGAGGCCACCCCTCGGGTGCTTCTCTGCTGAACGCGGCCTGCGTTCCCGGTGGGCTGTCTGAGCTGGGATGAAACGCCTGCAACAGTGCCCGTCACTGTGCCCCGAGCTGAAGCGCAGGTCTGCAGGGGCACACAGGCCACCGGAGGCCCAGGCGTGCAGGCCTACTGTGTTCTCAGGATCAGGTGGATGTGCAGGTACTGGGAGGGGGGCCCAGTGTGGGGTGTGTCCCCACCAGCAGAGGGTGGAGTGAGGGCACAGTGATAAGCTGCTGGCTGCAGAACATTCTGGAAGGGGAGCGTCTGTGGGCAGGAGAGAAGCAGCCTGCACACTCCCAGGGATCCCAGCCTCCTCGGGTGTGGAAGTGACCGTGTGTTGGGCGGCACCCGGTCTGCAGGGTTCCCAGAAAGTGTAGGCAGTTGGGAAGCCGGCCGTCAGGGCCCTGGTCGTGGACGCACACGGCCATCTAGGGGCCGCCCCAGGAGGTCAGGTGGGGCCTACCCCTCCCGGAACGTGGAGCAGCCCAGCCGCGCCGGGACAGCGCCCCTTTTAAAGAAACTGCTGGGCAGTCAACCTCTGGCAGTGGTTCCTCTGGAGGAATGTCTGGCCCCTCGGTGAGTCCCGAGGTGACACCACCACGGCTTTGCATGGGGCCCCAGCACGGACGGGCTCCGGCCAAGGGTGCCCTGCTCAGCCTCTGGAACCTGCCCCCCAGGAAGGTGTCTGTGCAGGCAGCAGGCAGGACAGAACATGCCAGCAGCTCTACCTGAGAGTCCCCGCTGGAGGTGAGCAGCGTGGTCAGCAGGAGGCTGGGCAGGACACACTCTCACGTGCCTAGACGCAGATGGAAGCTCGTGTCTGGGTGCCCTGGGGTGGGGGCCGGCTGCAGAGAGCTTCTAGGGGACGGCGCGAGCTGCCCCCAGAGTGGGACACGCATTTTTTACCCCATGTAAAAACACCACCACTAACAAACAGGCTACAAAGAACAAAACCGGGGTTCTCTGTCACCTGCGCCGCCCCCTCCCCTGACCCTGGCTGTTTGGGCAACACAAGTCTCCCCGGCCTAGGAAGCCTCTCTGCGAGCCACGGTCAGGGCCAGGGTCTGCGGGACGGGGGCTACTCGCGGCGACTGGCTGGAGGCTGCCTGCATTGGACTCTTTGGGGAAGAAGGGGCCAAGGGTCAGGGCTGTGGGAGAGGCTGTCAGGAGGGCGCAGGCGGCCGCTGCACGGGCCCCGGGCCTGTTCACTCTCCCGCTCGCTCTCAGAATTGCCATCCCCCCAACCCCAGATGTGAAATGCTCCTGCCAACACGAAATCACCACTAGAGTTTCTATCATCTGACCAACGCCCTCTGTCACTGCAGAAGTGCCCGGCCAAGGAAGGGCTCCCACCCGAGGTCTGTTTGAGGGCTGAGAACCACCCAGACGGAGTGAGGGGCCAAGTGAAGGGGTCAGACCAGCTGGCGTGGGCTGCAGAGTACCCGTGCCCACAACTGGGGACCCTTTCCTGCTCGGTGCCCATGTGAGCACGGCACCTGACCTCACAGACACTTGTGCATACTTGTCCAAGGAGTGGTGGTCCTGGGCACCCCATCTTGCCTAGTTCCTGCCCGGAAAAGCAGAGACCCCATATTCTAGCTGACCACTCGGAGAGGCCTGAAGTGCCCCGGGGAGGGGAGCCCAGCTGTGGCCTCTGGGGGCCAAGTCTCAGCAAGGCCCCTGAGCCGCCACAGGACGACGTGCCTCTGGGCTCTGCCCTCGGCAACCATCTCCAGCTGTCCTCCGGCAAGACCCCGAAATCAGAGTCGTAAGTGAACCGCCAGCCACTACACTGAATCGGTTTAATTTGGAGCTTGGTGGCTTCGGGAACACAAAGTGGCTCCTGGCCAGCGTGGCAGCCGAAACCCCAGGCCCTTCTCAGAATCGCTCCAGTGGGAGCCCTCCAGAGTCGTGAGGCATTCTGCTCCCAGCAAATGCAGCCACGTCCCTGGCCTCCTGGCAGTGCCCCTGGCTCCCCTGCCTTGTCCTCAGTGCCTTGGACACTAATGAGGGCTGTAGTAGGCTCAGCTGTGCCCCCCAGGTGTCAGCAGCAGGTTACCCGGTGAGTTATGTTGAAGTCCTGAACCCTGACATCTGTGACTAGGACCCTGTGTAGACACAGGGTCTTTGCAAATGCGACCAAATGAAGAGGGGGCCCGTCGGGTGGGCCCTGACCCCATGGCTGGGGTCTGTGCAAGGAGAGGAAAGGCCGGGTTGGGACACAGACTCATAGGAGAAGCACCAGGAAGACGGAGCAGAGACTGGAGGGCCACCTGGGGCCACCCGGAGCTGGGGGAGGCAGGAAGCCTCCTTCCCTGGGGCTTCCAGAGGGAGCACAGCCCCGCCCCGTCCCCATCTCAGACCTGCGTCCCCCAGGACGGCAAGGGGAAGCGCTGCTGCAGTCCAGTGGTGCCCAGCTCTCGGGGCTTTGCTCAACAGCTGCGCCTCTCTGGGGCTTTCTAGGAGAGAGGAGGGTGTGGGGCCTGGCGGGGGCCTGGCGGGGGCCGGCTGGGGCCTGGAAACCTGTTTCTGCCAGCTGGAGGAGCCCAGAAGCCCGCCTGCTCGCCTCAAGTGACTGCGGTGTCAAAATGAAAGTAAACACCGTGTTAGAGGTTCTAGGAGGGAAGTGTGGACACCAGTGACTTGCTCACTGGCTTGGCAGGAAAAGCCACACTGGGCTGAACCCCGAGGGTGACACAACTTCCCCGCCGTGGACTGAGTGGGAGCACTCACCAGGTAACCTGCTGCTGACACCTGTCTGCTCACCCGGCCCTGGCCAAGGCCGCCCCTCGCCCGGCCCTCGAGCTCGCCGGACCTCACACAGCCCCTCAGGTAGGTAGTGCAGAAGGCCAAAGCGCTTCACAGAGGAGCAAACTGAGACTCCTGCCCACGGTCACAACAGCGCCCCTGACGGGTGGACCTAGATGACAGCGGGTCTGACCACTGCACGCGCGGTACGGACCTCAGGAGGAGGCCCTCACTAGCCCCCACTCCGGAAATACTACTGACGCTCGGACTGGGCCGGCAGCTCGGAGCCCCCGGGCTTGGCTGGCCGCCCCTCACGCACTCTGCGGCGGCTCCCTGTGGGCAGGGCCCGGGAAGGACCGTTCATCACAGGCAGGTGTGGCCCCAGAGGGCAGGAAGGCGGGAGCGGCGGGAGAGGGCTGGGCTCAGGCTACGGGTAGAGGGACACAGGGACGGGCGTGGGTGCAGCAGGAAAACCAAAGGGCACCTCGATGCACATCATGTCCTCACCCCACGCCAGCGTCCTCCCAAGCTCCCAGGTATGGGCGGGGCGGGAGCACCAGCAGCCCCTGCGGCCTGGCGGGGTTCCTGCTCACAGGCGCCGCCTCCAGCACCCATACCCCCTCAGGCTCTTCCCTAGAGTGTGGCTGCAAGGGGCAGGGTGCCGGGGGCTGGTTTGGAGGGTCTGGCCCGCAGCAGGGTTGCCAGTTTGCGGAACAGAGAGCCTAGAACGACGTGCGGTCTGCCCAGAAGGCACATGTGCCCCCAAGGCGGAGGAGGTGGCCTGGCGCCTGCGGCCCGGAACAGACACAAATGCTCTCATCAAGCTCGGGCCTGGCGGCAGGGGATGCCCCTCCCTCTGAAGCCCCCTGACTCGTCACACCACAGAGGGACTCCAGAGCCCCAGTGTGACCTGGGGACCATCCTCCGGGCTGACACTACAACTTCGGGGAAGAGGACAGTAGGCTTTGGGGCTCTGTTTTTAAAATGGGCTGATTTCCATCGGTAGAACAGGTTTTTCTTAATACTGGCCTCCTGCAGCAGCAGCCCTGGCCCGGGGACGGCAGGAGCGCGCTGCTGAGCTGCTGGGTTTGGCCCGATGATCTCCTAGCTTCGCTTTGCCCCTCCCCATCTCTGCGGCCCGGGCCAGGCCTGTTGGTGGCACGGGTCAGGTCCACGGGTGCCCCCCGGCCTGCCCAGAAGCCAGCGGCTTCCCCGCAGAGCTGGAGACAACTTCCGCCCGCGGTGGTACGCGCCTAGCCGTGGGCCACACGCGAGAACTCAGAATGTGAGGTCAAGAATGGACAAGCAAGCCTGCAGTCTGGACTCACCCCGCCATCCTCCACGCTGAGGGCCAGGGCTCTGAGGCAGCTGTGACGACCTCCAGGGGAGGAGAGCAGCCTCTGAACCGTAGGGACTCGAGGCGTCGGCCCGACCTTGTGGGCCAGCCTGCCCTGGGGCTCTGCGCTCAGCCCCTCCCTGCACACCCGTGAGGGCTGTCTCGGGAGGGCCTGCCCTGCAGCTCTGTTCTGCAAAGCCTAAGCACTGCCCTTCCAGAAGGGCTGCGACAGCAGCCAGTCTTGAGCCCCAGAGTGAGGGTGGGCAGTGGGAGCGTACGGGATAGCCCCAGAGTCTAGGCAAAGGTGCCAAGGGGGCCGGGACGCCCAACGCTGAGCTCTGCGGGCAGCTGAGGAAGGGTCTCTGGGAGAAGAAAATGGGGTGTCTGGCAGCCAGGGGCCATCTGGGCACAAGCACCCTAGAGGGGCAGGGCTCAGGGGTGGGTGCCTGCTCTGGGACCGGCTGAGGGCTTCCTAGAACTGGAATCAGGTCAGGGAGAGTAAGTGGAAGCTGGGAATGGACAGGGCCAGGGGCACTGAGCTCAGAGGGGACGGGGTGGGGAGGACGGCAGTCAGCACGGGGGTTACGGGGTGGACCAGGGACCAGCAGGCTGGGGGGCTGGGAGGTTCGGCGGGCACAGAAGGCCACATGGTACAGTGCAGGGAAGACCAGAGGTTTGTCCAGCTCAGAGTACGTCCGCAAGGAGACACACAAGGGATGCTTGGGAGGCCCTGAGTCTGGGGACTGGGAGGGGCGTGTCCAGAGCTGCCCGGGCTGTGTGTCTGGGGCTGACAAGGGCTGAGGGAACCCGAAAACTGACGGGGGCTGACAGAGTTAAGGGGACCATGACCCCTGTGTCTACGGAGAGGGCCTGAGGACTGCTGACCCCCACATCTTGAGACTCATGGGACCCAGGCAAAACTCTCTTCCTCGTGCTGGGGAGGCCCAGATACCCCAACCCTGTGTCTGGGGCTCCCAGGGGAGCAGGGTCCCCTTCTGATCCCCAAGTCATGTATGACCCTCTGCCATGAGCTCCCAGGACCCCAGGTGACCCTGATCCCCAGGTCCTATGCAGATGGGGCCCTGGACCACTTCGCCGCAGTCCCCTGGACCGATGACCCCCAGGTCACCCCGACCCTGTGTCCCGGGCTGTCAGGTCACCCCCGCCCTGCGCGGATCCGGCACGGGGTCCCACTCACCTCTGGCGCTGCCCGTCCAGCCCGAGTCCCAGGCCGAGGCCCAGGCTGGCGGGCGCGGGGCCGGGCGCCGGGCTGAGCAGGCCCTGGGGCGCCGACGCCCTGCCCGGGGGACCCGGCAGCCCGGGCAGGCCGGCGGGGGGCGCGGGCGGCGGCGGCGGCGGCGGGGGCGGCGGCGGTTTTTTTTTTTTTTTTTTTTTTTTTTTTTTTTTTTTTTTTTT